AGGAAAGTAACCGCAGAAGGAAACTGAAGAATTTTATGGACAAACAAAGCACCACCCAGCTTTTGGCAGACACAGCAAAAACAAGTTGGTTTGTTCACCAACAAGAGGAAGACAAAGTATATAGCTATCAATGTCCCCAAAGTAACCATCAGAGTGGACAAAGAGTGAGATGTGCAATGATGCTGATGCATGCTAGCTGTCAAGCAGCGACTATCAAAAGTAGCAACAACTTTCATAACTTAAAAAGATTTGGAAGAGTAGCTGATTGGTACTGACATAAAAATCTGAATTTTTAACACTGACATCACGTCTGTCCTCCTTTATGGAGCAGAGTCGTGGCAACCTACAACAGAAATTGTTAAGATCATCTCATTCCAAAGGAAATGTCTGCAGAAGATCTTCAAAGACCATTGGAAAGAATTGCTTGCAACATCAGAAATTCTAAGTAGAGCAAACCAGTCTAAAGCATCAAATATGCTAAGACGACGACGACGACAGAAATATTTAGGACACACTTTAAGGATGCCACCAACATGACTTTCGCCACAAGTGATGATATGGAGAAAAAGACAGCGACCTAGAGAAACATTACACAGAACACTGGAGAAAGGAGCAAAGTCCATAATTTCAGCTTGAACAGACCAGCACAAGGCTGAAATAAATGCCGGAACCTGGAGGACGCCCTACACAGCGGGAGGCCAGAGAAAGAATAAAGATTATTCTTAGACTTCTGTAAGGCATTTGACTGGGTCCTACACAACATTTTGATTAAAAAACTAATACACAGAATCACCATGGTACACATTAAATGGCTGAAACACTGGCTAAATGACAGGTCTCAAAATGTAACTGTAAACAGGGAATCACGGAGTGGTTGCCTTTCTCGTGCGGTCCCATAGGGATCGGTTCTTGGCCCTACGCTATTTAACATCTTTAATCAAGGACCTGGAAGAAAACAAACTCACTGGTAACATTTGCAGAGAACACAAAGATTTGGGGAGTGGTAAATAATGACGAGGACAAGTCACTAATACAGAGCACTCTGGACTGCTTGGTAAACAGCACAGCAAACAAAGTGTGTTTCAATACGCCCAACGTACGGCAATCCACCCAGGAACACAGAACGCACTTACAGGACGGGGGACTCTATCCTTGTTGCACTGACTCTGAAAAGGACTTGGGGTCATGGTGGATAACCTGCTGAAGATGAGCTCCCACTGTGATGCTGTGGCCAAAAGGGTTAATGTGATCCTGGGATGTATGAACGGGAATATTCAATAGAAGGGAGATTATATTACTTCTGTATTTGGCACTTCTGTGACCATTACTGAAATACTGTGTCCAGTTCTGGTGTCCACAGTTCAAGAAGGATGTTGATAAATTGGAGCGGGTTCAGAGAAGCGCAATGAGACTGATTAAAGGATTGGAAAACCTGCCTTACAGTGATAGACTCAAGGAGCTCAATCTAGCTTAACAGAGAGAAGTATAAAGAGGTGACTTGATCACATGGGGAAAAATATTTGATAACAGGCTCTTCAATCTTGCAGAGAAAGGTATAACATGATCCAATGGTTGGAAGCTGAAGCTAGACAAATTCAGACTGGAAGTAAGACAAAAATTTTTTACAAGTGAGGATTAAAAAATGGAACAATTTATCAAGGGCTGTAGTGAATTCTACATCACTGGCAATTTTTAAATTAAGATTGGATGTTTTCCTAAAAGCTATGCTCTAGTTCCGCGGTTCTCAAACTGTGGGTCGGGACCCCCAAAGTAGGTCACAACCCCATTTTAACAGGGTCACCAGGGCTGGCTTTAGACTTGCTGGGGCCCAGCGCCAAAGCCCAAGCCTGAGGACTTCAGCCCTTGATGGAGGGGCTCAGGGTTACAGGCCCTTGGGCTATGGCTTTGCCCCCCCAACACACACACCTGGGGTGGTGGGGCTTGGGCTCTGGCCCCCTGCTCAGGGCAGGCTCAGGCTTCGGTTCCCCCTCCCGGGGTCACATAGTAATTTTTGTTGTCAGAAAGGGGTAGCAGTGCAATGAAGTTTAAGAACCCCTGATCTAGCTCAAACCAGAATTATTTCAAGGAAGTTCTACAGCTGGCGATATACAGGAGGGGAGGGATAGCTCAGTGGTTTGAGCATTGGCCTGCTAAACCCAGGGTTGGGAGTTCAATCCTTGAGGGGGCCATTTAGGGAACTGGGGTAAAAATCTGTCTGGGGACTGGTCCTGCTTTGAGCAGAGGGTTGGACTAGATACCTCCTGAGGCCCCTTCCAACCCTGACATTCTATGATTCTAGGAGGTCAGACTAAAATCACAGGGGTCCCTTCTGCCTTTAGAATCTATTAATGCAATTCCCGTGGACATAGGGGTCTCCTTCGTTGCAGGGGTTGGGGGAGGAACCCAGTGACAGGAGGCTGAGTCCCCACCAGCCAGCCTTCACCTTTTTATTTGCCCTACAACCCTGGTTCAACTCTCCTACTCATCAAAAGGGTCATTCCCTTGATCTGGTCTCCAACAAGCACTGCTCTCTCTGGTTGTTGAGGTCCCCACTCTCCAACCCTCACCTGGTCTCTTCCCAGCATCACCCATCAGTCCCACCTCAGACTGTTACTCAGTCTTTCCATGATTTCCAGTCCATCAGCACTGACTTCTTGTCTGCTCTCTGCCCCCTCCTCCCTCTCTTCCATGGACATCCTTTCTGAGTGTCTCCATGATTCATTCTCCTCCTTTCTCAACTCTCTTGTCCCTCTCTCCAGTCACAAGATCTACCCTGCCACCTCCCAGCAATGGATCAGCCACAACAGCCACTTCTGCCATTCTGGCTCTCCTGCTGCAGAGCGTCTTGGGTGGAAATTCCATGGCTGGGCTGATTCCCTCCATTACAAATGCATAATCTCCTCCTTCCATTCTGCCATCTTCCTAGATGAACAACTACTTCTCCAGCTGAACTGAATCCCGCACCCACAATGCCAGCTGCCTTTTCACCACCTGACTTGCGCCTCAATCCCTCCTTCCATCCCCCTTTTCTCTCAAGAGAAAAACTGGCAAAATAAAACATATGATCTTCCCCTCTTCAGCTAACCTTCCCTTCCCACTCCTCCCCCCGGTCATAGACACAGAAGTTTCTCAAGTTTCTTGTCTGCTCTCTTTCTCTAATTCCACTGACCCTGTCCCGTCTCCTGATCTTCCTAGCACCCACTCTCCATCCTCTCCCTTATTCTTCTGCTTAACTTCTCGCTCTCCTCTGGCTCTTTCCCCCTCCCAACACAAGCACGCTGTAGTCACTTACATCTTAAAAACCCACCCTTTACCCCACGTCCCTTAACTCCAACCACCGCCTCATCTCCCTTTCCTCTCTAAGCTCATTGACCACGCTATCTACAATCACTATCTGGAGTTCCTCTCCTCCAATTCCATCCTAGACCCTCTACAACTCAGCTTCTGCCCTTGGCACGCCACTGAAACCCTCTCAGCGAAGTCTCTAATGACCTCTTCCTAGGCAAAGCTCAGAGCCGATACTCCATCCTCATCCTCCTTGACCTGTCAGCTGCTGACACCATGCTCTTCTTGAAATCTTGTCCTCCATTGGCTTCCATGACTCTGTTCTCTCCTAGTTCTTTCCCTACCACTCTAATCACTCCATCAGCACGTTCTTCAGAGAATTCTCCTCACCCTGTCTCCAGCTTTCCATGGGGGTTCCACGAGGCTCTGTGGCCCCTTCTCCCCTCTCTGGGTATCTCATTTGCATCAACTATCATCTCTATGAGATGTCTCACAGAGCTACCTCTCAACCCCAGACCCATCTCTTTCTGTCCAGGCCAGTGGTTCCCAAACTTTAACAACCTGTGAACCCTCTTCACTAAAATGTCAAGTCTTGCGAATCCCCTCCTACAAATGAATATTTCCAGAGATTTTCTCCTTTACCTGAGTATAAATTATAAAAGCAGTGATCTTGGAAATATAAAATTTGTTTTTATGACATGCTTATTACACACTATTTATTATTATTTATCATTACACTATTTTTATTACATTATGAAAATGGCAAAACTCTTCCAAGATCTCAATTTCGTAGCTTGTATCACTTTGAATAAGCCTGTTATAAGACAAGGCTCCTATGTTTCATCAAGGAGTATCAGATGTGAAACAGCAGGAAGGGATTTAAGAAGCCAACTCAAAGAGTTCCTTCTACACAAGCATTCAGGTCTTGAACAGTCCAGGCAAACAACGCACGTTACAACAAAGCTTAAAACTTTTTCTTCATAGTAATTTTAAAAACAATACTAGCTGCCTATTTAATTTTAAAAACAGCAAAAGATATCCACCTCCCTTTCCATTTCTTATAAGGAGTCTTGAAGTTTAAATCTCCTCAGTGTGATAGAGATGCTTGCTTTGATCTGCTTAGCTCTTGGAAATCCCTGTGCTGCCCGAGATCCCTAGGGACAGCTCTGTCCGCGATTAGGGAATTTTTTCCCGGGAACCCCCTGTAATCTTTCGCGAACCCCAGTTTGGGAACCACTGGTCCAGGCTAAAGTCTGGGCCTGTCTCGCTGACATCTCCTCATGGGTGTCTAGCTATCAGTTCAAGCTCTACACGGCTAAAACCGAGCTCCTACCACTGCCTTCTTTCTGGATCACTGTGAACAACACAACCATCCAGCCTGACATTCAGGCCTGTAACCTGGGAGACATCTTCGACTCGTACCTCTCTTCAGGTCCTCACCTCTGGGCTATGTCTAAATGGTGCAGGTTCTCTTTGCAAAAAATCTCTAACGTACAGTCCTTCTTATCCATCCACACAGCTGAAACTCTCGGCCTGGCTCTCCTCGTCGGGTGTCTTAATTGTGTCTCTGGCCTTGACAAATGCAATCTTGCCCCCTCCTTTGTCATGATGCCTACAAATAACTGGACAGTGGCTAGGCTGCTGGTGTGCGGAGAGCAGAGCCTATCATGCAGACCAGCTGTCTCAGGGTTTCCTTGGATTCCCCCACTGGCCTGTTAATAGCCCGTCGTTTGTCTCATATTCAGCTCGCTGGGGCAGGGACCATCTTTTGGTTCTGTTTGTGCAGAGCCCAGCACAGTGAGGGTCTGGTCCAAGACTGGGGCTCCTAGGCACAGATCACCCACCCCCAGGAGATAGCAGCCATGTCCGGCGCCTACCTTCTTGCGTTCCTTCTGTTCCCTGTGTTTGCGCACCAGCTGGCTGCCTTTGCGGGCGATGATCGCCAAATCCGAAGTGGCATCCTTGACCGGGATGACTGGCTCTGGCTGGAGGGGCAAGAGAGGGAGAGGTTCCAAATCAGCACTGACTGAGGCCTTGTCTACACTACAAAGTTTTGTCGGCAAAAGGCAGCTTTTGCCAACAAAACAGGGGAGGTGAACACACCACAAAGCTACTTTTGGTGGCAAAACTCCGCTCTTTTGCCACAAAATAAAACCACAACCAGAGGCATAAAGTTCTTGCTCAAAGTTAAAGGGATAAAGCATCAGTGTAGACACTGCTGTTTGTTTTGTCAACATAACTGGCTTCCACCAGTATCCCACAATGCCTGTTTTGATCCCTGCCGCCCTGCAGGCATGCGCCCCTCCTCTTTCAAAGCTCTGGGAAGTATCTGACAGCCCAGCTATTTGGGGAACAAAAAGCAAATCCTTAGCGTAGAATGCTCCTGTTCTGCCCTGCACTGGGGGGGGGGGGGAAGGAAAGGGGACAGACTGCTGTGCAGCTTTGAGATTCCTCAGCATGGAGAGCTCACAGAGCTGCTGCGGAGGCTGTGGAAGAACTCGGAGGGAATCACGGGCAGGCAGAGTTGGCTGCTTTAGGAGAGACTCCTGTGCTGAGCAGAGGGGGCTGACCCCCTCCCCCGCCTCGGGATAGGTCGCTCAGCCTGCTGTCTCCCCCGCCCCAGACACATCACTCTCCTCTCCTTCCCCCACATGCTTCAGTTGAAAAAGCGGCTGACAATCTAGTAGGATGCCCCTGGAAGGATGGGATAGAGAAACCTGCAGCATGTGACGATGTATCTAATGCATGAGGCATTGCAAACCCTTCCCAAAGCACCCCGCTGGGATTGCTACCATAGTGCACTGCTGTCTGTGTCCATGAAAGAGCTGTTAGTGTGGATGCGGTCTGCTGACACAAGGAGCTAGCGTGGACATACAACAGCAGTTTTACTTAAAGAGGCATAACTTTTGCAGACAAAACTTTGTAGTGTAGACAAGGCCTGAGCTTCCTTGCAGTGGCCCAGTGGCTCTCCCCCAGCAGAGCCCCTACCTGCTTGGTGAAGACGATCCTCCCATCCAAGAATGGGGGCACCAAGTTGTGCACCAGCAGGTGCACTTTGGCTGCGTTATCTTCCTCAAAGTCCTCATCCACCTCTAGCCGATGGACCACCCCGCTTGTCAGCATGCGATTGGTCTCCCAGCGCTCATTGTCCTGAAGGAGAACCACAGGCAGCAGCGTCACAGACCCCGCTCCGGCTTGTGGGGAGGGCGCAATACCCTAGCTTCCCTCATCAGCCTGCCACACTCACAGATGGAGAAGAGATTCCTCACATCTAAGCTGCAGGGAAGCACAATAGGGCATCCCCCATACTCACCCACAAAGAGCACTCTGACTTGTATGGCTACCCTACTGTCAGAGTCACAGAGGAGCTCCAGGACAGTAAGACAGTGACGTGGAGGGGCTGCAGGGCCAGCCATTGGTCTGGGCATAGTGAACTTTAGCCCTCTCAGCAGGCTGATGACTAGGGTGACCAGACATCCCGATTTTATCGGGACAGTCCCGATTTTAGGGGACTTGTCCCACGTCCCGACCTTACATCGGTCAGGACGCACTTTGTCCCAATATCGGGGGACCGTCTGGTGGAGGACACAAGCCGGAGCTGCCGGCGCTGCTCACCTCTTCTTCCTGGGCCAGGGGCAATGCAGCTGAACTCCCGGTGCTCGCCCGCCGGCCGCCAGGAGCCTGCAGAGTGCTACAGCCCCACTCCCCAGGCATGCACAGAGACAGCGAGTAGGTCTCCACTGTGTGCTGCAGGGGCGGGGCTTGTAGGCGCCGGCAGCGAGCTCCCCCGCCCCTGCCCCCGCGCCCCTCGACCTGACCCGCGCGACCTTAGGAGTGAAAGGGACGGGACCTGCCTGCTGGATGCTTCCTGGGAGCCGCTCCAGGTAAGGCTAGCACTGCTGGGACTCACCTGGCCCCCTGGCAGGTCCCACTGCCTACTGGAGCCTCCACATTTATTTTTTGACAAAATTTGCAGAATTTTAAAATATTGTGCACAGAATATCTCTGGAGATATTTAAGAGTAGGTTAGATAAATGTCTATCAGGGA